AAGCCATAATCATCACAATTATGACAAATCACGGCTTGAATTATCTTGCTTTGCATGTAATGAGTCTATCTCATATATTAGTTTCACCTTTTAAGTTGCATTAGTGAAATAAATTAACTTTGCACGATATTCTAATTATTCGAGTTTCACCTGTAGATGTCCTGGCTAATAATTTTTAAAACACTGCTTTAACCCCTTCATGACTGAGCTTGTTTTTAGTTTCTGTTCGTAAATGACTGACACACTTTTGACATTTTTGCTGTGTGATTCTTCCACGTCAGTAATATACTTTCTTACAAAGTGCACCCACACATATTATATATTGTTTTTTAGGTCTCGTTCACACCTAGGCATATTGCATATGCGCGACCGTCGCACGATTTTTTAACGTGATTCGCGGTAAAAAAGTTGCGCGACCGTCGCGCGTTTCCCGAAGGCTACTTGGCTGTATCCCAATGGAAACGCGCAACAAAAACAGCCCAAAATAGTACCTGTACCTTTTCAGGCGTGGGCCGTTTTGTAGCGCGTTAGGGACAGGCGGAAATACTCCAAGGTGGGAGCGAGACCATTGAATACCATGGGATTTATATTTTTTTGTAGAGCGTTCGCGGTATACTGAGCTTAGGGTAACGGGAGGACGCTAGTTTGTGTCCTCCCGTTACCCTAAGGAGAACTATGGGGAAAAACACTGACCCCATAGTTCTCCTTTAAGGCTGCTTCAAACTTCAGAACAGCCAATAATAAGTTAGTGACACTGATCCTACAGCAGTTCAGGATTCAGCTGTCACTAAAGGTTTTCTGATAGTTCCAACAACGATCAGAAAACTGAAACATTCTTCTTTCAGGAATAGATACATTATGTATCTATTCCTGAAAGTGAAAGAAAAAAAAGCCAGTATACGATCTGAGAGAGATATCTCTAGATCTATACGAGCTGTCAGAATGCCGGCTTTTGCCGGCATGTTTGCCCACTCTGCTTTGACTCTCAGACACCCGATATTAAGGTATCAGGTGTCTGAAAAAGGTTAACCCTTTCATTAATGGATGCCTCTATACTGAGGCATCCAT